TTATGTGTGTTACCTCAGAACTTTTTTCTGGGTGAACCGATTTCGATGATTCTTTTTTTATTTGAAAGCTGGTACTTCTCGTGTGGTCCCATATGAATTTGATCAAGGTCAGACCAATAGTTTTTAAGTTATTCTTAAATAACTTATATTGAAGTCGGCTGTACAAAATTTTTAATTTTAAATTATCGAAACATATTTTCGTTTACAATTTTTTTTCATATGTTTTCGATTAGATTAGATTCTCAAGGAACTACTCACGGGTATAAATAATGTGGGTATTGAACCAGAACGCAGCTTTACTCTGTGCACTTCTATGAAAAAAAAATTATTCAAAGTGCTTACATATAATTGAATATTTTTTTGGTAACTCTGTCTATCATTTTAACCATTTTTGCTTAACCTCAATATTTTTTGGAAATCTGAAACATTATAAGACTTTAAATTATCTCATTATAGTATTTACTATAATGCCATTTGGCTACGAAAACATAAAAAATAAAAAATTAAAAAAATTGTGAAGTTATAAGAGGAGGCTGCATCTAAAGATATTGCCTTTGCCTGTTATAAGCATATTATCGATAACATGATATTGATATTGTCAATCTCCAAAAATTAGATCAGAAATCGCGGGAATTCATGTATTTGTTATTATTTTTAATTTATTTTTAACGCATTTCGTAACCCCGCTCGCCAAGCGTGGCAACTATGGCAAATACCCCCTCTATGAGTGTAACAAAGAGACGGCCCCCAGTCCCCGGCGGCCCCGCTATTCCTGGCTACGGTGGCGACCATGGTAACGGCGGGGCAGGGGGTGCTAAGAATCTCCGGTGGAGGTTCGGTTGCCACCTTAGACGACTTGACCTGGCAACGTACAACGCACGCACCCTGAGGACAGACGAGAAGATCGTGGAGCTGGAAGAAGAGATAGACAAGTTGCGTTGGCATATTATAGGATTATCCGAAGTCCGAAGAGAGGGGGAGGACACGGTAATCCTCGAATCCGGCAACTTGTTCTATCACCGGGAGGGCGACCATCTGTCCCAAGGAGGTGTCGGATTTATCGTCCACAAGTCTCTCGTTAACAACGTTGTAAAGATCGGGAGTGTGTCGACGAGGGTTGCGTACCTTATACTCAGAATCACCAAACGGTATTCGCTGAAGGTCATACAGGTTTACGCACCAACCTCGGCACACCCTGATGAGGAGGTGGAGGAAATGTATGAGGATATCTCTAGAGCCATGCATTCCTCCAAAACCCAATATACGGTGTTAATGGGAGACTTCAATGCAAAACTAGGCACAAGAGAGAACGGTGAGCTGAAAGTAGGGAAATTTGGAATAGGGCAACGGAACCCAAGGGGCCAGCAGCTGGCCGACTTCATGGAGAAAGAGGGACTCTTTATGATGAACTCTTTCTTCCAGAAGCGGCCCCACAGGAAGTGGACCTGGTCGAGCCCCGACGGTTCGACAAAAAATGAGATTGACTTCATTATGACGACCAGACGACAACTGTTCAGTGATGTCTCCGTGATCGCGAGGGTGAAAACTGGTAGCGATCACCGAATGGTTAGAGGCACACTGAACCTAAACGTTAAGTTGGAGAGGTCTCGTCTAATGAAGTCAACGCTCCGTCCCCCTCGTGCTCTGTTCCAAAGTCCCGAAACCTTTCAGCTCGAGTTACAAAACCGTTTTCAGTGCCTAGAAGACTGCAATGAAGTGGACGATATGAATGACAAGCTCGTGGAAACTGTCCATGCGGTCGGAGCTAAGTTCTGCAAGACCCGCCGCAGAAGAACACAAAAACTCTCCGATCACACTCTTAATCTCATGGCTGTTAGACGGGAGATGAGGCTACATTCTTCAACAGACTTGACAGCATACAGGCATCTGAACAGACAGATCTCCAAATGCATGCGGCGGGACTTACGCAACTTCAATACAGCTCGTATTGAAGAAGCGATCGAGCGGAACCAAGGCTCCAAAGTCTTTGCCAGAGATCTGTCTGCCAGAAAGAGCCAACTGTCAAAGCTGAAGACAGAGTGCGGCAGCATCGTTTCCGGGACACCTGAGATTTTGAGTGAGATTGAGAGGTTCTATGGGCAGCTGTACACGTCATCGTTGGAGCCACACGCAAATGTGAGTAACGATCCAAGAGCGAGTCTCATCCGACACTATTCCGAAGATATCCCGGACGTCAGTCTGAGCGAGATTAGAATAGCTCTCCAGCACCTTAAAAACGGTAAGGCCCCAGGCGAGGATGGAATTACAGCGGAGCTTCTGAAAGCGGGTGGAAGACCGGTACTTGAAGTCCTTCAGAAGCTCTTTAATTCCGTCCTCCATGGTGGCATTACACCGGAGGCGTGGAGCAGAAGTGCGGTGGTCTTGTTCTTCAAGAAAGGTGACAACGCTCTCTTGAAGAACTACAGACCGATTTCCCTTCTGAGCCGCGTCTACGTGCTGTTTTCGAGAGTCATTACGAATCGTCTCGCGCGCAGACTTGACGACTTCCAGCCTCCTGAACAAGCCGGTTTCCGAAAGGGCTTTAGCACCATAGACCACATACATACCCTTCGGCAAATTGTACAGAAGTCCGAAGAGTACAATTTGCCACTATGTCTGGCGTATGTGGACTATGAGAAAGCCTTTGATTCCGTCGAAATTTGGGCGGTGCTGCAGTCCCTTCAGCGGTGCCAAGTTGACTATTGGTATATCGAAGTGTTGAAGTGCTTGTACAGTAGGGCTACGATGGCTATCCGAGTACAGAATCAGAGTACGAAACCTATCCAATTGCAGAGAGGTGTAAGACAGGGTGACGTCATATCCCCGAAACTCTTCACCGCTGCATTGGAAGACGTTTTCAAGCTTCTGGACTGGAAAGGATACGGTATCAACATCAATGGCGAGTACATCACTCACCTTCGATTTGCCGACGATATAGTCCTTATGGCAGAATCGCTGGAGGACCTAAGCACTATGCTCAATGACCTCGATAGTGTTTCCCAACGGATAGGTCTTAAGATGAACATGGACAAAACAAAGATCATGTTCAATGTCCATGTCACACCTATGCCGGTAGTTGTTGGGAGCACTAAGCTCGAAGTTGTTGACGAGTATGTTTATCTGGGACAAATAGTTCGACTAGATAAGTCCAACTTCGACCGAGAGGTCAATCGACGGATTCAACTCGGCTGGGCAGTGTTCGGGAAGCTACGACACATCTTCTCGTCAAACATACCTCAAAACCTGAAAACGAAATTGTACAACCAGTGCGTGTTGCCAGTGGTGACTTACGGAACTGAGACGTGGTCCTTCACTGCTGGCCGTATGAGGAAGCTCAAGGTCGCTCAGCGAGCTATGGAGAGGGCTATGCTCGGAGTTTCTCTGCGTAATAAACTTAGGAATGAGGATATCCGCAGTAGAACCAGAGTAACCGACATAGCCCAACGGATTAGTAAGCTGAAGTGGCAGTGGGCCGGCCATATAGCTCGAAGAACCGACAACCGATGGGGAAGAAAGGTTCTCGAGTGGCAGCCTCGTACCGGTAGGCGAAGTGTAGGGCGTCCCCCCACGAGATGGAGTGACGACCTGGTAAGACATGCGGGAGGTCGATGGATGCAGGTGGCTCAGGACCGTGCTTTGTGGCATTCTTTGGGGGAGGCCTATGTTCAGCAGTGGACTTGTGAAGGGCTGTAATGATGAATGATGATGCATTTCGTAATAAAATGCGATATTTTTTCAATCCATTTGTGTTTAAAACATTTGTACCAGTTCTAAAATATTGCATTTAGAGTGCTAAATATTTTAAAAATACGAGTGAAATGTATTACTTTGTGGATTTTCTTTTCTCGATTAACTGCATTCAGGTACTACACACGTCACCATATTTAATCAAACCTTTCGACAACAGAAGTTGATGACAAGTCTATTGTGCCATCAGCCATGTGTAAAAATAATTATCTTTTTTATGCTTTTTTCACTTGTTTAGACCTAATTAAGTTTAGTAGACATCAGTTACAAAGGGAAGGATACTTGTTTTTAGTGAGTAACTACGTGTTTTTCTACGTGTTTTCTTTGAAATTGAGAGTAAGTGATTTTTTTATGCAGAGATTACAAACATTTTGTACTATTTTTTGTTTTATAAAGAATCATTTATATAAGTACGTACAGCTAAATCACCCTGGATAACCTTGGTTTTTATTAAATTAAAATTTACACCTGATAATAATATTTGTAAATATCAAACAATCAAGAACTTTAATTTGGAAAAAAGTAAGGTTTATGATTCATTAATATTTACAAATGTTAAATATTATGTAATGTTATACAAATGTAAAATTAAAGTCTATTTGAAAAAGTCTAATTAGCAAGAATAGCAAATCAAGTGTTTTCAAAAGAAAACAAACGACGGCGCTATACGGCGGCGGATTGACAAAAGACTATTTAATGCATGAACGGTTTCAAACTGTTTCAAGCAAAAATAAACCTTATACCATATCACAAGAGCACATGGTACTTCGTAGGTCTATTTGGCCATATGGTAGTAATAAGACGGCAGTTCAACCATTTTAAGCAAAATTAAACAATAAGACAAATGCATCGTTTTTTTTTAACAGGAGACTTGTTTTCCAGAAATTTATTTACAACTTTAGTTTGTGAGCGATCGCAATGAGTGCTATTATTTGTTACTTATTAGACTAATTTTCCACAACATGATTGAAAACCCACAAAGTAAAAAGAGTACCATGTACAAGTTAAAAAAAAGGTTGACAACACCTAAAAATTTCAAATTTTCAAAATATCCAGAAACGAAGCCGCAGGAACTACTTGCAAAATAATGAATATTTTGTTCTGGGTAAATTTTCCAAAAACGCAATTTGAGCGAGTTATAACGATTTTTAAAAAGACACGACTCGTGTGTCATACGCCACACGAGTGAAGTGTATGTTCAGTAGTGGATGTGTGAAGGGCTGTAAAGATAATGATGATGATGACGACGCCAGGGAGGCGCTGCGCTGGGTGTCGGGGTCGCGCGGCGCGGTGGTGGCGCTTGAGCCGCCGGGCGAGGGAGGCGGCGGGTGGGGCGGCGTGCGCGCGCGCGCCGCGCTGCTGGGGCTGCTGCCGGCCGCGCTGCCGCCGGCGCTCGGGCGCGCGTACCTCGCCAACCTGGCGCCGCCGCCCGCCATCTTCCGCGACCGCGCGCTGCCCTACCGCCCGCCCTTCGGCGCCGCCGCGCTGCTGCCGTTGCACCCGCACCCGCACTAGCGCTGCCACACCGGGACACCCAACAACACTCGCATGCTTACATACAACTACAACACTCATTCCTGTCCAATAAAATATTTCAAGTTGATACATTGATGTAATCGTCATCTGTTCTAGTACTACGTACTAGAATAGACGGCGCGAACAAAATCTGTGCTGCAGTGCGGGCCGCGTGGTCAAAGGCACAAAGTACTTTTTTATGGCACAGACTAAGTGAGTTTCTGCCCGCGAGCTCTAATGCGTGTTGTAAATTATCAAATCTCGACGTGTCTTGTAATACGTAGTACATATTACTTCAATAAGTTGAAATACAAAATTATTTTATACAAATAGACGTGATAAATCAATCGAAATAATTTAATGACTTAGAACTAAGGCTTAAAATCTCGAAATAGTTATACATAACTGAACAGTCCTTGAATAAAATTATAATTATTGTGTAACTGTGATATCAATTTTAAACAAATATATAATTTTTATATTGTTTCCTTTTTTCATGTTCGTAAAAATGATGATAAATAAAAAAATAAATAAATTTCATGACAAAATTGATAAAATTATTATTGTAAATGTTACACTTATATTAAATAAAACACTATTTAATATTAAAATTTCGAGAATATTATTGGAATTTTAGTACTACTTTATTTTTTTTAATTGATTAATTTTTATAATCAACCAGACATATTATTTAAAACAATTTTGATTTTTGTAATCAATAATTTGGCAATATAAAATAAAAATATTTACTAATTTTATTATAATGATACTTATGTCGTAAGTAACAAGGCAAATCATTGCCTACTAAATACATCTTGACAGTAACCACTGATTTCTGTTTTCGAAATATAAAATAAAAATATTTTATCTTACTATGAATGCCTCGATACGCTTTTTTGCCGATACGATACCGATACCGATTTCTTATAAAAATATCGGCGATACCGATACGCTCATTGAATTTATAAATGAAGGTAAAATTAATAAAACACACGTCAGGTTATTTTTTTCATTAATATAATAAGAACAAATAACATGACTTACTAAATAAAACCGTTTAAAACTAGACAGGTTGAGATTAGTTATTAGTTATAGTAATTGAAATTAACATTGATGATATTTTTGTTTAAAAAACAAAGTATTTTTAAGTTTTGCGGAGAAAGGCGATTTGGCAAATCTGTTTGAATAAGACCTGCAGTGGAAAATAGTCTCTCAGATACGACAGAACTCATTTGGAAACCATAGTACTTCTGCGCCATTTTTTTCAAGTTAGAGTATAAGACGTCATTGCACCAGAAACGAATGGATCTACGCCTCTCGATATATTAACGGACTCTCTAATAATATTTTCACAAACGCTCCAAAGCCCGCCACTTGTAGGCATTTCAGAACTTACGGTTACAGTACTAGATGTGTGAAATAGTTTCGGAATGCAGTACTACACTAAGATCAAGTAACTGAGCAAGACGCATTTATGCCATAGTAATACTAGATTGATTGAAATATTCGTGCTTTGTAACGAGGATGAAGCATTGTGGCTAAACAAGACACTGAATAAAGCGCGGGGTTGCCCCGAGCATAGTTAGTTCGTGCTTCGTTTGGAACGAAATAGATGAGACAATACGCGCGTTTACATTACATTTTTAAAGCGCGAAATTTGAACAGTATCGTTGAATCGGCCATAAAAATATCGCCGATGCCGATATATCGGCAAACTACGAGTATCGCCGATATATCAGAATCGGTATCGGATGCATCCCTAATTTTCGCCTACTATTATAACAGAATGAACTTGCCTTTCATTTTGCTGTTATTACTTTTATAGATAACTTACGGCTTAGTTATTAGCTGTCTTATTTTCTTTACATTGCTCTGTTTTTATAGTCAATATTTGTTAGGGTTTAGCAGAAAGTTTAACAGAAATATGATAAAGTACAAAATTAGGTAATTGACACCAGCCTTTATTTAACACCAAATTTGAATTTTCTGTTTTTCGTAGTCTCAAAATTAAATGGATTTTGTAAAGTTACTGCGTTATACATTACGTCTCTATGCTGGGCAAAAACTTCCTCATTTCTAAGAGAGTTTAGGGAAAAGAAGTGTCCGCCGCGCTGCTTCAATGCGTGTTGGTGGACTTCACATGTCTTTGAAATATTTTTTTTTATATCAGATATGTAGATATTCTCATGATGTTTTCAATTACATGTCGTGCACTTCGTAAATCAGCACTTAAATTGCAATTAATAGTTTCAATAGTGCCGCCGGGTATCGAGTATAGGTCGTTCGCCTACTGTGAAATTTACGCCGAGCTTTAGACTCTGATCTAACACGGCTCTGAGCTATATGAGCTTATGGGTCGATTTTGTATTCTAAGTTAAATTAATACTTTTAGTATTAAAAATATACAATTAAGATTAAACTTTGACTATTAAAACTATGGCGTCATTACACTACACTACATTCTCTTAAAATGTATTTTAAATAAATGCTCGCCCCTATGTTGTTTTTGGTTTATAATTTTTTTTAAAGTATTTAAATTTACCTTAGTGTTAAATACCCAATTGACTAAAAGATTTTAAATTCCAAACAAAATAAAATGAACACATGTTGGGCTTTTTTTACGACGTCTGTGTTAACTGATGTATTTGCAAAAGCAAAATAAACTAAATGTATTTAATTAATAAAGATTATTCTCTTAAAACAGATCAAAAACAACAAATTTCTTTATTACAAGCGTTGTAAACATGATAACATGATAACTACTGTAACAGTTGCTTTGTTCTCATGAAAACTGCACTAAAATTCTGTATCAGTAAAATGTGTCTATGAATTATTTTTTTAAATATATTTTAATGCAATAAAAAGTCTGTTTTTCATTTACATCTACTGTCAACCGTCATGATTGTTTTAAGTTCAACTGTTCAACTAGGTAATTACAATTTCATTTTTACCTACATATGTGGATATTTTAAAGCATAAATTAATAATTTGAAATTGTGAAAAGGCTGCATTAAGGTGAAAGCGCCAGGGTGGCCGGGCGAAATTCAAATTTTCTTACGTTTTTTGGAATTTGCAGGTCAGGTTCAGGTTGTATGTTTAACAAAATATGATTCGCGACAGTAAGAAAATTTGAATTTCTTTTTTCTATATACAAAAATCAATTGCTGTCTCTTAGTCTCGCTAAAATTTCAAAACGACTCGAAAATTTTTGATGAATTATATTCACAATTGGACCCGGTATGTGGCGCTGTTGTTGAAATCCAGAATTACAAAGCATCCGTGTGACGTCGGGGCAGATCGCAAGTCATAGATAAAATCACAAATTATAACGTATTATATTTTGGCTACTGCAGTAAATTAACAAATGAAGCCAATTTCAAAGAAGGTTTCAGATGCGTTGTCATGTCTGAGTACCAAGATGCAATGTCTCACAGCCTGTAATTATACTGGCTCTATGCCTTTAGGGTGAAACACAGCAGTGCTGGCACTCCTATTTAGTGGCAGAAATAAGTTAGAAGGTGATAATTAGTAATTACCCAGACAGACTCAGGCAAAAGCGGATTCCTACCACCCATAAAATGTAAATCTTCTGTTTTTTATCCGATGAGATACTATCTTTAACAACAGTTTGCCGAGTTAAGATGTCTACAAAATCTTCCAAAAACGTATCAATAACTAGCGATGTGATAGCTGATTGTGAAGAATTTTATAAAAATACCTACACGTCATTCGAGGCTGTATAAACGTGGATCCCTTTGCCTTTAAATAAAAATAAATAATGAATGACCATATGTGGCAGGTTCCTGCCATTTTGTTAAGATTCTTATTGCAGTTTCTGGCATGATCTGTTGACATTTTATAAAACCTGGCAGTATGACATTGACATTGGTCCCTTGGGAGAGAGGTAAAGCCCTAGTGTAGGATGCTACTTGCGTAGACACTGGCGGCCTCTCATCTCAGGGGTACCTCGTTTAGAGCCGGGGCGGCATCAGGGGCAGCTGAACTGAGTAAGTGGCGTAAATATGAGTCTCTGATAGATTACTACATATTTAAGCCATTTGCTGTAGAGACTATCGGTCCGTGGGGTCCACGTGCGACTGACCATTAAAAATAGATTTCATTATGGCAACTTAAAATGTCGAAGATGGCAACCCTACATACTTCGTCAGTATGTTGGGGATTTCCCTGTATTTTTCGATTTCTCGTATTATGTTTGTATCGCATACAATAAACAACTTTAAAAAAGTTGTGTACAAAGTTGATAATCTTAAAACGAGTTTACACGAGTTGGTTAATATTTCAATCAGTCATAAAAGAGACGTACATTAGTTTGGTATCGCATTAGATTTCATGGTGATATCATCTTGTTAATAATATTTCGTAGACGATAGTAATTATAGGTGGCGCTGATGAAGCAAAAATATGAAAGGGCGTATAGAGCGAAGTAGGAGCAAGATCTTTTACTCTCATCATGGATCTCCACAGCTAAAGATGATACAGACTGTGTAACTGCAAATTGGCACAAAAAAAATGAGTGGATTCAGCATGCGAAAGAATATTCTCTCAAATAAATTTAATTAAGGCAAAAACTTGAAACAGATATATAAACAAACATTTAGCGTCTATCTTGTACGTTAAACAAGGCATTGGTGAGCATGGCGATTGCATTGCATAATTGCATTCAAACCAATGAAATATTTTTAATTTAAAGAATGTAGCGTTTATATGTGTATTTTTACTTTTCTTAGTTTAATACAATGGTAAATAAAGTTGGCAGTATTTAGGCATTTTTCACTACAGACTTTGGCAGGATTTGGCAGATTTTTAACCAAAGTAAGGCAGGATCTTATAGATGTGCCAACTCGGAAAAATTACGACTCGAGTTAACTCGAGTTGAAATTCACGCAACTCGAGTTAGTAGTACGAAAAAGAGTAAATGATTTGTTAAAAATAAGTTTTTTATAAATTTGTTTTTCTATTTAGCTCTTTGGTGGGTTGAG